GCTGCTTCTCCACGGAGGACCGCAAGGCGCTGCGCGGGCACCTGCGCGCCGCGCACGGGGCGAGCGCCGTGCCCTGCGCCTCGCGCGCCTGCCCCCTGCTCTTCCCCAGCCGCGCGGCCATGGAGCGGCACCGCCGCAGCCACCTGCCCTTCCACTGCGGCCGCTGCGCCTTCGCCACCGCCAACGCCAGGCTCTTCGGGCAGCACCGGAGGGGCCACGCGGCAGAGCCCTCCCGCGACGCGCGGGGCGCCGAGAGCACCGGCAGCCCGGCCGGCTGCGGCCTCCAGCAGCGCCGTGTCCTGCCCTCGGGTAGGGTAGGGCCCTGCGGGGCCGGGGCAGGGCAGGGAGGGCTTTCTGCAGGGCTGGGGCTGCGGGCTGAGTCTGTGCACCCCAGCTGCAGCTGGGAGGAGCTGGGGCTCCGGCCGGTGCTGCCGGAGGGCTGGGGAGCCCTGCGGTGCAGCTGCTTTCAGCAGCTCTTTGCCTGCTGTGGTTTGGTCCGTGGTTTGTGGAAAGGCCACCCATAGCCGGGGCCGGGGCAGGGCAGGGAGGGCTTTCTGCAGGGCTGGGGCTGCGGGCTGAGTCTGTGCACCCCAGCTGCAGCTGGGAGGAGCTGGGGCTCCGGCCGGTGCTGCCGGAGGGCTGGGGAGCCCTGCGGTGCAGCTGCTTTCAGCAGCTCTTTGCCTGCTGTGGTTTGGTCCGTGGTTTGTGGAAAGGCCACCCATAGCCCTGGAGAAGCCCCCCTGTTTTGTCAGGAAGTTTCTTGCACGTTTGTGGGCAACAGGTGGTGTCTGCTCCTCACCTGGAATGTGATCTGTGATCTCTCTTCCTGCTTTGAAGTGGAAGAAGGGCAGGAGGATGCAGGGAGCTGCCACGCTAGCTGGGAAGCAGCAGCAGAAGCATCCGGGCTGGGAGAGCCCACGGGCACCAGGCAGGGCTCCTTGGAGGGGCAGAAGGCATCGACTGGAGAGGAGGACTCGGAGAGCGGTGGGGATGAGTCGCTGGAGGAGGATGGAGAGAGCCCCTGTGAGGGTGAGCCCAAGGAGAATGGGAAGGAAGCTCCTGAGAAAGCCAAGGTGCCCCGGGCACAGCACGTCACAGGTAGGATACAGAGCACCACAGGGCTGCACGGGGAGCTGCTCGGGCCTTTGGCTGGGGAAGGAGCAGCATAATGCAGAGACAGACTGGGCTGTGGGGCCTGGGAGTCCCAAGGCATCCTGCCCCAGTCCCTCTCTGCTCACCCGTCCTGCATGTATCCTGCAGTGCAGAGCTTCCCCCTATTTCTTATCCTCTGCCCATGCAAAAATGTGACATCCTTCTTAGTAGCTGTCCCCAGAGCTGCTGGGCCCTGCTCGGCTGGAGTCAGGGCACACTGCAGCTGGACTGGAGCCATACGCCCTGGCTGGCTGGGGCACGGGTGCCCTTTTGAGCCAGTTGGGCTGCCTTGTGCTGGGGAAGCAGGGACGTGTGGGCAAGCCCAATCTAGGCTGTGCTGGATCATTTTTCCCAGTGTTGAGCTGGAAAGATCCCATCTGAGCCATGCCAGTGGCTCAGGATGGGGCCATTCCCTCCCAGCACGTAGCTGCTGCAAGGCTGTATGTGATAACTGTTTGGTCCAGCATAGCTGTATTGGGGAGAGAACATCTGCTTGTTTCTGCCACCTCTTCCCTGCTGATGCTCCCCCTTCTTGCCTCTCGCAGGGGATGTCGTGGAGGGCTCCGAGTACCTTTACAAAACGCACATGTGCCCCGAGTGCAAGCGGTGCTTCAAGAAGCGGACGCACCTCGTGGAGCACCTGCACCTGCACTTCCCTGACCCCAGCCTGCAGTGCCCCAACTGCCACAAGTTCTTCACCAGCAAGAGCAAGCTGAAAATTCATATGATGCGGGAGACGGGTGAGAAGGCCCATCGCTGCCCGCTCTGCCACTACAGCTCTGTGGAGAAGAACGCCCTCAACCGCCACATGGCCAGCATGCACGAGGACATCTCCAACTTCTACTCCGATGTCTACTCCTGCCCCGTGTGCGAGGAGAAGTTTCGGCTCAGCCAGGCCCTCAAAGAGCACTTGAAGACTCACAAAGCTGAGCCGAAGAGGCTGAGCTGCTTCCAGGGAGGCTGCGACTACTTTGCTGAAGACCGCAAGGAGTTCATCCGCCACCTCAAGGATGCTCACGGCATCAAAGCAGTGGAGTGCAAGTACCACGCCTGCTCGCTGCTTTTTGGCACAGCGGAGGCCATGGAGGCTCATCGCAAAACGCACTATGCTTTCCACTGCCAGCAGTGCGACTTCATTTGCTCCAACAAGCACGTCTTCCGCAAGCACAAGAAGCAGGGGCACCCGGGCAGCGAGCAGCTCCAGTGCAGCTTTTGCCCCTATGCCACCTTCAACCCCGTTGAGTTTCATGACCACGTGGGCAAGATGCATGCCAACGAGAAGATCCACAAGTGCACGGAGTGCCCCTTTGCCACCGCGCACAAGAGGGTGCTCATCCGGCACATGCTGCTGCACACAGGTAGGTGTCTGCGTCCGGGAGCCTGGCTGCTGCGCGGGGTCCTGCCCCTGCTCTGGGTGAGCAGGGAGGACTGCAGCAGGGCTTCTGTGGCAAACTGCCAGCTCTGTCACGCGGCAGACCCCAGTGTCACCCAGCTGGGCAGCTTGGTTGCAGATTCCACCCGCAGCAGGCCCAGGAGTCATGATGTGCCCCTGTTCCAGCTACCCCAAACCCCTGTGCAGCTGGTTCCCTGCAGAGGGAGGCAGGGCAGCTACCCCGCCTGGCCGTGCTGCTGGAAGTCTTTCCGTGTTGTCCGTAGGAGAGAAGCCCCACAAGTGCGAGCTGTGCGACTTCACGTGCCGAGATGTGAGCTACCTGTCCAAGCACATGCTGACCCACTCTGATGACAAGAACTTCATGTGCACCGAGTGCGGATACATCACCAAGTGGAAGCACTACCTGAATGTCCACATGCGCAAGCACACCGGAGATCTCCGGTACCGTGCCTGGCCTGGCGGGGTAGTTAAGGCTCCCCAAATCCTGCTTCAGGGGCCCGCTGCTCTGGCTGCACTGAGTTAGGTGCTCTCATCCCTGAGATGAACAGCCTGTACTGACTGGGATTGCCACACCATGATGTTGGCAATCAAAGCTGCCTTTGGTGTTCCAGTGCCCTGGAGAAACATGTTGCTGTGCCAGCACAGCTCGAAGCCCGGGGCCATGGAGCCTGCTGCTGCATGTCATGCTGCATGAGCAAAGCAGCCCTGGGTGCATGCAGGAGTCTACCCACATGTGTTTTTACTTCTGAATTATCACCTTACCCTCCTCTGTGTCTAGTCTGCCTGCAGGCAAGCTGGAAGCGCTGTTGGTGTGAGGTGGTGTGTGTGAGGCAGGTGCTCTGTGGGGCGCTCGGGGAACCTAGCCTGGGCTGGGAGTGCAAAATACCAACAGTGCCAGGAGCTGCAGCAGGAGGAGCAGCTGGTGATAAGAGCTGCTTTGATTGCAAAGGTTGGGTTCAGCAAAGGAAACAGTCCCATGCCCTGTGTTTTGGGGTGGTAAAGTGTCCAGCAAGGCTCAGCCTACCCCAGTTCCTTACAGTGGCTGACCAGCTCTGCTTCTCCCCTTAGGTACCAGTGCAACCAGTGTTCATACAGGTGCCACCGTGCCGACCAGCTGAGCAGCCACAAGCTGAGGCACCAGGGCAAAAGCCTCATCTGCGAGGTGTGCGGCTTCGCCTGCAAGCGCAAGTACGAGCTGCAGAAGCACATGCAGGCGAAGCACTCGCAGAACTACCAGGTGCCCATCTTCCAGTGCCAGTACTGCACCTACCAGACCAAGTACAAGCAGGAGGTGCTGAACCACGAGAACTGCAAGCACACCAAGCAGAAGGAGTTCCGCTGTGCCCTCTGCTCGTACTGCACCTTCAGCAACACCAGTCTCTTCTTCCACAAGCGCAAGGTTCACGGGTACGTCCCTGGTGACAAGGACTGGCTGGAGAACTACGCCAGCAAGGAGCAGGAGATCAGCTCCTCCGAGGCGCTCTTCGGCTGCGAGCTCGGCACAGCCCTGCGCTCGGATGCTGCTTCGCCCCTGTCTGGCAAGGAGCAGTGGGCGAAGGCAAAGCCGCCCCAGCCGGAGTCGCAGGGGGAGGAGAGCTCCCAGCAAGCGCTGGCGGTGCCTCTGCAGGAGCAGGGTGCTGCTGTGCCCGAGGGCAGCACCGAGCTGGCGAGAGGCGAGGGTGAAGGGGAGCGCGGCTGTCCCGGTGCTGCCAGCGCACAAGCTGATCCTGCCTCAGGCTCGGCTGATTTTGCCCCTTCTGGGGATGTGGTTGAGAGCTGCACCTTGCACTTGGAGACCCTGAATGTCCCGTCTGACTCTGTGCTGGAGCATTTGGCCGGAGATGCTTGCACATCTCAGCCAGAGAGTGCAGAAATGCTGGTCTGCAAGGAGCCTCCTGCAGCCTATGAAGTGCTGGGCTCCCGGGATGACCTTGGCTTGGAGGATAACGACAACGCGCTTGAAGACATCCCAGACTTTGAGGAAGATGAGACAGATGCATGTGGGAATGAAGCAGCCGGGCTGGAAGTTAGCGCTGTGGTGGGAGACAGCCAGGGAAAAGATGCCATCAGGGAGGACACAGGCTGCCGGGAAGGATCATGCTCTGGCCTCCGCGAGCTGGTTGCAGACGCTGAAATGAGAGAGAACAGCCCCGTGGAGCTGCCCACGGCCTGGCTGCAGGCCCTGGAGACGGCCGAGCGGAGCTGCCCGCCGCCCGCGGAGGATGCGGCCGCTTCTGCTGATGAGGCAAAGGGGGGCTCGGAGTCAGTGCTAAAGGCACTGCGGAAGCAGGACAAGGAGCAGGCAGAGACGCTGGTGCTGGAGGGCAGGGTGCAGATGCTGGTGGTGCAGTCAGAGAGCCAGATCTTTAAGTGCGAGAAGTGCTCGTACGTCACCCGGAAGGAGAAGTCCATGTCCCTGCACTCCAGAGCCAGCTGCCAGAGGCGCCGGGCACCGCTCGTGTGCCCCGAGTGTGGTGCCAGCTTCAAGCAGCAAAGGGGGCTCAACACCCACCTCCTCAAGAAGTGCCCAGTCCTCCTGAAGAAGAACAGGGCCCTCAAACCAGCTATTCAAGAGCTGCCTGGCTTGTGCCAACCTGCCAGCCAGCCTGGTGGCAGTGGTCCAGAAACGTCAGAGAGTGACAGGGGAGGCTTGGAGGAGTCTGGGCATCATGAGACGCCCTGGGAAATGGAGCTGATATCTGATAAAACACAGCCCTCGGGCAGTCCTTTAGCTGAGGAACAGACCTTGGCCAGTGCTGCCATTGAGAAGCCCCCTCCAGACAGCAGCACAGACACGGTGGAAGAGCCTTCCAAGCAGGGGGATCCAGCTGAGCCAGGTGGAGCTGTTTTTCCTTCCCAGCCTGGGAGAACATCTGAGAAATACCGTGCAGAGGGTGGCAAGCTGCACTGCAACGCCTGCGCCTTCGTCTGCTCCCGTGTCTCCACCATCACCTCCCACGTGGAGGACGGCTG